CAAATTAATTTCTGCCCACTTTATGATGGTCAGTATAATCAACCTACTACCCATCAGCTGACTGGCCTGGCCCCCTGGGGAATAGGGGCACTAACTCAGTTAGTGGCTGTTTATTTTTTATTTTTATTTTTTAAATTATTTTTGGTTGCTCTGGGTCTTTGTTGCTGTGTGCAGGCTTTCTCTACTTGCAGTGAGCTGGGGCTACACTCTCATGTCATTGTGCAGGCTTCTCATTGCAGTAGCTTTTCTTGCTCTGCAGTAGAGCAAGAGCTCTAGGGTGCCCCGGCTGCAGTAGGTTGTGCGACTTAGTTGCCCTATAGCATGTAGGATCTTAGTTCCCCGATCAGGCATCGAACCCACCATGTCCCCTGAACTGGCAGGCAGATTCTTAATAACAGGACCACCAGGGAAGTCCCAGTGGCTGAGTTTTCATGAATGTTCCTGCTCCTGGTAGATTAGGCTCTCAGCAGAAGCATTAGCCAGATCAGCCTTGGTAAGGAAAAATCCAGCCTGTTGAGGCCCTGCATGGTGTTCATCCTCCATCATACCCACTATTCTTCATGGCCCCATTGGCAAGCACTGGCATGGCTGGCAAAAGAGGCTAACTGACATCCATAGAGCATGTCATTCAACCCACCTGATTATTAGGCACCTCCATGTAGTAAATGTTATGGTGAACACTTATATGGGCCACAGATACCTTTGCTATTTGTGTCCATCTAGAGAGGATTCAGAATATTAAATAAGAAAAAGAAAATAGAGAAAAGAGAGCCAGGAAATGAAAGTTAGTAAGTTCAGTTTGGGGTATGCTAAGTTTGAGACTCCTGTAGGGCTTACAGGCAGAAAAGGGTGCTTCTGGAACTCGGGAGATCCTGGGATATACAAATTTCGCTGCCTGTGATGTAGAGGTAATAGCAGAAACCACAGTTGGTGATGAAAATAATCAGGGATAGTGTTAAATTTGAATAATTTGAGGACAGGACTTGGCAGAACATCTGGGGTGAACTGTCAAAGAGAAGCACTGAAAAGGAGAGGCCAAGTGAAGAAAACCTGGGGAGACAGCAGTCCCAGGAAGGCAGAGGAGAAAATGTTCCCCAAAGCAGGAGTAATCAACAACTGTTACATATTATGGAGAGAGAGAGAAAAAAAGACACAGGCAGTAAAATTCCATCTGATTTGGCAAACAGGAAATCACTGATATCAGTAAAGAAAATAGTTTCAGGGGAGTTGTGGGAACAGAAGACAGATTCACAAAAAGGTTCACAAATGAATACAAGGCAAAGTAGCCAAATTAGAGAATGCTGCTCATTCATTCAATTATAAGCTACAGAATGAGGTAGAAAAGAGCTCTACATAGCGTTTCTATATCAGAATTTAAAAGAGGACAGAATTTTGAGGAGTCTTTCAGATGGGAAAGCTTGAACATCTCACAAAATGTAAGGGAAAACACTTCTATGCAAAAGGAAGTTGCAGGGCCAAAAGAAAGGTGAGTTTATGAGTAAGCAATATCCCACAAGAAGGTTGGGATCAATAACTCAATCTCTAAGATCAAAGCGGTGGGGTAGGAATGGAAGGGGAGAAAAACAGAGGTGAATTTGTAGAAGGTAGAAAAGGAAGTTGAGCTAGTTATCTTCCCTCAATTTGACTTTCAGATTACAAAGCAAAATCTTCTGATGACAGAAAAGTTTGAGTTGAACAGAACTGAAGAAAAATTACAATTTTAAAAGAGCAATAATGAGGAAGGGAGAGGGAAAACAAGAGAGATATCTAATTGATCAAATTTCATTTCCTCCTTGAAGCCTTCTCTGTCTGTTCCCCTGAGAATAAATACATTATGAATAAGGTACTTCTTTAGCAATTAAAGTTAGAAGTTTCTTTTTAAACCCCCTATTCTACAGCTCTTACATGGCACTTGTCATTTTTTGTTATACAGTTATTCATCTTTTCACATGTGCTTCAAGAATTAACTTGTAATTCTTTAAAAAAAGGAATGCTGTTTCTTTGTATGTCTCCTAGCATCTAAACACTAAAGTAGGTACATATTAACCCAGAGTTTTAGTAACCATTCCTGTACAACAAAGCATCCTGAACACACTGAGGTAAAAACAACAATTTTTTCTAATTGCTATCTCTCAAGGTTCTGAGAGTCAATGAGTGGCTTGGGGATCTCTCCCGGGGTTGCAGCAGGAAACATCTGGGGCAGTCTCCCCAAGTGTCTGGAAGTTGATGTTGGCTATTGGTTGGGACCCTGCCAGGGTAATGGCCAGAACACCCATACACGGCTTCTCCAAGTGGCTTGGGCTTTCTCAGGGGATGGTGGCTGGGTTCCAAGAGGAAGTGTCCTGAGAAAGAGAGCCAGGGGGATGCTGTACATCTTTTCATGGCCTAGCCTTGAAGTCACACAGTATTATTCCGCCACATTCTATTTATTAGTATAAAGTACTAAGGCCAGCCTATATTCAGATGAGAGGAATTTAGACTCCACTTCTTTTTTTTAACTTATTTATATTTATTTTAGGCTGTGCTGGGTCTGTGTGCAGAGCTCGGGCTCTAGGGCATGTGAGCTTCTTTAGTTGGGCCTCATGTGCTGAACAGTTGAAGCTCGAGGGCTCTAGAATGCAGGATCAGTAGCTGTGGTCCACAGGCTTAGCTGCCCAGAGGCATATAGAAATTTCGAGGACTAGGGATTGAAACTGTGTCCCCTGAATTGGCAGGAGGATTTTTTTTTTTTTTTAAATATTGTGACAAAGCTAGGCTGCTATTTTTCCCAACCTGTGACTGAAGTTCCTGACCCATCTTGTCTCAGGCCCAGACTCCCTTGGACTGGCTGAGAATAAATGCCTGCGTCTTTTCTAAGTCAGTTTTCCCAGCACACCCCATGTTGTTGTTAAGAAAAATGACAAGAGCTTCACCTTCCTGTCCAAGCTTGAACCCAGTCCTTCCTAGGACCGGTAGGAGGATTCTTAACCACTGAACCAAGAAGTCCCTAGACTCCACTTCTTGATGACAGAAGTATCAAAGAATATGCATACACGACATATAGTAAGTGTTAATTAGATGCTCATTTAAGCATTCAAGGGCTTCCCTGGTGGTTCAGATGGTAAAGGATCTGCCTGCAAGGCAGGAGACCAGGGTTTGATCCCTCGGTCAGGAAGATCCCTTGAAGAAGGGAATGGCTAACCACTCTAGTATTCTTGCCTGGAGAACTCTATGAACAGAGGAGCCTGGCGGGCTACAGTCCATGGGGTCACAAAGAGTTGGACAGGACTGAGCGACTAACACTCTCACACTTTAAGCATTAAAATATGAGAATGAGAGTGGGTAGTCTTAAAAGTCTAAATAGGAGTTAAAAATAATGCTAAAAAGTCAATTCACCCATAAAATATGCTACCCATGCTCTCTGTTCTACAAATGACTATTCACAATCATTTTACAATCTCCTTTTTAGGAGATAAAACTGAGCTAGTTAGTAGAAGGTGCAGATCAGTGCTTCTCCTACTTACACGTGTGTGTGTGTGTTACCTGGGGATCAGGTAAAATGCAGACTCTGCTACCGCAGGTCCAGAGTAGGGTCTGACATTCTGCATTTCTAGGGAGCCCCAGAGTGATGCTGTAGCTCCACAGATCACCTACTGAATAGCAGACTAGTAGAAAAGTAGTAGCAAAGGTGGCTGCCTGGCTCCTGTGATCTCTCCCTCCTCTAGGATGAACGCTAGTAGACGTTCATCTAAACAGGCGTTTGCGGCCAGAGGTCCCTATGTGTTCTCAGGACCGTGACTCTTCAGTCAGGTGAACCCTTGATGCCAACAATGTTAATCAGTTCTTTCCCAAGACTATTAGAACTAGAAATAAAGAAAGGGAGTAACTTTTTTCTTTTTTGTGGTAAAGCACAGTACGTGTGACTCTGGAGTCACCAGTTATGTGAGAAAACCAGAAGGAAACAGGCTGAGACGAGAATCCAGGAACATGGCAGCCCTGGGTGAGGCTCACGCCAGACCCCCTTCTCGCAAGCTTGTGAGATAGCCTTATATCCCTCCAGCAAATTCCCCTTTCAGCCTATATTTGTTCTAGTTGGCTTTCCCTCATTTGACACTTTAAAAATTATAAACTGGGTGTGAGGAGAAGAGGAGGTATTTTCCTGGAAATGCAATGGCCGCTGTGATGGAGGAATAAAGAGGAATTCAGATGGAGTTATTATCTGGACATTAGGACCTGGGGTGAGGCTAGACTGTCCAGTAATCATGCTAAAGATATGTTTACAACAGAGTGGATAAGCTACAGAGAGAGAAGATAACAAAAAGCTAAGGCTGAGGGAAGATGGAGAAAAGCCTCAACCTCTCGAAAATGGGAGGAAAAGTGAAAAGGCAGGCAAGAGAGCCTGTGGATTGAAAGTGTTGAACAGCACTGAAAGTGGAAAGGAACTGTTACCTCAAGATGACATCTGCTGAAAACCGAAGTGAACAGGACAGCCCAGAACACCAAGGCTAATGATTCTTTAAAGAATGATACCTGGGCCGAGTAGAGGTTAAAAACAAGAGTGAGGTAGAGCCCTGCACCAAAGAGCAAAATGCTGAATTTCTCATATATGCCTGGTATTGTACAAGGGGCTTTACATTTATGATCCTATTAAATGACCCCTAAGGAAATGATCTACATTGTTCTGGCCAGCTGTCCCTGAGATCCTAGCACAGTCAGAGCTGGCACTTCCACTATCAGTAGAGGGTCATATCATATGAGCTGCAGCCAGTAAACGCTGACTGGGTGTACACCTCAGGTGAATCTGAAAGCCCTCTGAAGTCTCTGAGGCTGCAAGCACCACAAGTGAAACAAAAATGACAGTGACCACCTTTCCAAGTTTAGTGTAAATGAATTTTTAATAATGGGTTTCTTGATCACACCTTCATCTATATCAATCCCATTAAAGGGTGTACTCAGATAAACTGCATCAAATGTTTTACAGCATACGTTCAAAACAGCAGAAAAGGGAAAAAAGATACTGGCTAAGGTGTATGGTCCCAGGTGGCACTGGTGGTAAAGAACCTGCCTGCCAATGCAGGAGACATAAGAGGGTTCAATTCCTGGTATACTTGCCTCGAGAATTCCATGGACACAGGAGCCTGGTGGTCTGCAGTGCATGGGGTCATAAAGAGTTGGACATGACTGAAGCAACTTAGCACATACTGTCTATGAACTAAAAGACTTTCATATTTCTGTAGCAGGTACACACGCAGGTATATGCACTCAGGCAGGAAATGTGACAATGAAGTAATGGACCTGATTCCATAAAGTAAAATGGAGACTGATCTCATTTTATTGTTATATCTTGTGGTATGTTTATAAAATATTTCTTTCATAAGTTAAAATAGTATCTGCTATAGATGAATTTAATTTTGGTAAACTCAATGAAAAAAAATTTTTATGCTAATGTAACATTTATTGTAAAGATTCCAGAAACGCACAAATTTCAAATTTCAAACGTCAAAATTTCAAATTATGATTCCCACAGTAATAGTAACTCTGCTGTACAACATACATAATGGAAGAAATGATACCAACATATACCACAGTGGAAAATACTCAGTAAGCAGAAACAAGCTGAGTTATGCTTGTTGTGGGAATCATCATTTTCAACTAGCTTAGGATATATAAAAATGGAAACTATAAATGCATGCATTATTTTTTGTATTTAATTCCAATTTTTCTTGATCCAATTTAATCAGATTTGCATCCAAGCTACATTTCTCTTTCATAAACTGCAAGTAAATGTTTTTCATAATTTTAAAATCCACATCATTTGGTTTCTTTTTCTCAAGCAGGCTGCCTTTAAACAGCATCATTATATGCTGTCCCTCCCCAAAAAGGTCAGGACAAGTCTGTTGGGATCCATTTATCTATAGTATCCTTGTCTCCCTGAAGGGCACTGTAGGGAAAGAGAGAAAAACTACCAAAGAGAACAGGAATAACACTGAGTAGCTTAGAAAGGTAAATAAGTACAACAGAAAAAGGGACCCTGGCACCATTAACTTCCCCCTTGGTATCTTCCTAACCAGAAATATGAAAAATAACACCAGCAAATATTTACAGTTTCCAAAGGGTTTAGTCACATCATTAGCTCATCATTACCTCACTACAACACTGTGAGAAAGGCAAAGGGAAAACACCTTTCAGTTGCTCAGCTCTTTGTGACTCGAGGAGAATATATTTAAGGATGTGCTTTTATGTTATCAGTTAAAGTCTGGGCCATTTAATTACACTTATGGTATTACCCACTTAACATATGCAGAGGATTTACTTATTATTGAAGGCAGAATATACTTTACGTAAAAAGATTATGGTTATGAGCTAAGCATTTAACATATTTCAAGCTTTTTGCTTTAACTGTATTCTGACAATTCAGTAATGAAACAGAAAGAAATAACTGCCCTTTGAAATTTGTCTGGAATACAATTGATCTCGTATATTATATCCAGTATTACTTCTCCCAGTTTGGTTTTAACTAAGAAAGGCACCTTCTCCAATCTCTGAAGAGGAATCCTTTTACTTTCTGGTAGGCTTTACCATCAGGGTATGTTTCATTATATTCAAACTAAATTACTTTGGCTCAAGAACAATCATATTTCCTTTACTAATCTAAGTAGCTTACCCCTTCCAACCATAGTGTCCATGACCTTGTGCAAGTGTTTAGAGGATAACACAGTCAACCTTTGTCTCATAGGACTATTAAAATCCAGCTATTTGAATTTAAGTTTGCTTTTCTTTCTATGTACAAAAAGATGCTTTTCCATATAATCAGATAAAATTTTTCCTTCTTCATTTACCTCCTGTACCAGTAAAAAGATCCATTAAAATGAAGATTCAGAACTTGCAAAAAGCTTCAATACCATTTGTTCTAACCTGAGAGATAACACAGTTAATCCTTTGCCTGTGAAAAGAATGATCATTTTGCATATAATTAAAAGGTAATATTTTAAGTGCTAAAAGGAAAACAGAATCTAAGGAATATTAGCTTTAAGAGGTCTTATTGTAGAGGAAGAGTTGTCTTCTGAATGTTTCCTATAATTACAAAACATATCTTCATAGTGACTTTAAGATTAACACAAAGTTCCTAGAAAAAACAGATAAAATATAAAAATGTGTCCCAGGGACATGAATACTCAACTTTCAGGATTTTTTTCTCCCCCTCATACATGAAGAAACAAATCTGGGCCTGAGAGCAAAGCACAATCTCAATACCATTTCCCGTTATGACGGATAGAAGAGGGCTGGCAAGATGAAAAAGTCAGTGTGGGGATAGGAGCCTTGCATCTCATCAGAGACCAGACAAGAGGCTTACTGTCTTACACGATGCATCAGTCACACACAAGGACACGGCCACAAGCACAAATTTTTCCTATAGTCTATCCACCTTATGGGACCGTCCAGAAAAAAGTGCAGACCCAGCCAGTGCACAAGGTTTACCTTAAACAGAATGAAGCAATATCTTTTTCAGTGAGGAAACCGAAGAGGAGGTGATCAATTCTAGAGGATCACAGAATGCTTAGAAACAAAAAATGATGGGATTTGTTTCTCTTGAGCAGTCAATATGTGACATTTCCAAAGATCTTAAATTTTCCAGATAAACTGACAGTAAATAAAGCCCTGGGGACTGTCAGTACCACAGGATAAAAAACTAATTTTTCACATTACAATTTAGCTGTAGAATTCTAGCTAAATAGCTGATAAATAAAATATTAACACATGAAAGTGTCAGTCACTTGGTCATGTCTGACCATTAGCAAAACCACGAACTACAGCCCACCACACTCCTCTGTCCATGGAATTCTCCAGTCAAGAATGCTGGAGTGAGTTGCCATTCCCTTTTCCAGGGGATCTTCCCAACCCAGGGATCGAACCTGGGTCTCCTGCATGGCATGCAGCTTCTTTACTATCTGAGCCACCAGAGAAGTCCATATTAACACATCAAAGAATGAACCAGAAGAAAATTTGGGGAACAAAGTAAGTAGTCTAATTATAGAAAAATATTAAACAAATTACTGTACATTCATAAAATTGATGGTACATAGCCATTCACAATGTGTCCTTGAAGAATGTCCAAGGAGAGGCAAATGGTTGACAACACACTGCAAAATGACAACTGACAAAATCTTCTATATGATGTCTATTTTGGAAAAAAATATGAAGAAGACTAGGAGAATATACGTAAAAATATTAACAGAGGATACCCCTGCTAGTGAGAATTTAATGTCTTCACATTTTTTTCCTTTCCAAATGAAAGGGGACTAAACAAGGGGAAATTCTTATTTTCAGAAAGAGTCAGTGAGAATACTGTGATCTCTTTATCCCAATATTTTAATAACACACAAAATGAAAAACTGAAATATATTTAGTGCCATTTAGCACTTGCATTAACAATAATTTTTCTTTAAGTTATAAAAACAATAGCTCATTCAAATTTACAGTTTGCTTATACTTTCTGCCAAGTCACACAAGAACAATGTATTTTTGAAAATATATTGACATGAACTTATATCCAATGTTGTAGCCTTTCATGCAATCTTCATACATCACCACATTTAGAAAATGAACTTCATATGCTTGATTCCATAAGTTTTGAAGAAAACCATGATAATGAGTGCCCACAATCCCAGAATAAAACCTCCAGGAGGATGCCAATCCTTCAGCTTTGGTTTCTGCAAAACAAGAATGACATTATAAATTTAACAATCGATAAAGACTGACAGAAAATAGTTAATTCACAGAGTGTACTTTTAAGGGGTAGTAAGGTAGATTAAATTAAATGTACTGTTAGCCTTCCCTATCTGCAGGTTCCACACACACAAACATGTCCTGTATGTTTCTTTGTCCAGCATAGAAAGGCAGAACAGTCTTCCCCATTTAGTTGTCATTTCACCAGCTACATTATGATCCTGAAATTGGAGGTCTGTGACTACTGTCTCTTTATGAGTTATAGTAATACTTCCCGGATTATGAGCCAAGATTGTAAGGATAGTTATGAGAATCCTATTCTAGGATGGATTAAAGTGAAAAACTGCAATCTGAAATTTGCTTTAGTCACCATGTAAACTAGATCCCAGAAAGGCTCATAAATCTTTTAGTGGTTTCCACATCTTATATTTTGTTTTTTCCCCTACATAACCAGGACACCTAATGCTCTCCACTCAATCTTCAAATTATCACATGGAAAAATAAAAAAGAAAGGAAGGAAGGAAGGAAGAGAGGGAAGGAGGGAAAGAGGAAGGGAGGGAAAAAAATTACACAAGTCAAATCTACCAGAAATCAGTAAGGACCATGCCACTAATTCACTGCCATGATTCTTATAAATTTATGTTTATTATACATCCTTTAAAATATTTAATAATTACCTAACATATTCAAGACTATACACTCACTGAAAATATTCCAAAGGATATTTTGATAGAAATTCTATTTTCTTTTAATTTTATAAATGGAGAAGTTATTTATGCAAATGTTTTATTTTCAATTAGGTGATCCTTTTCTTTTTTTTTTACAAAGGAAATGAATTACTGTATTGAAGTTGTAGTTATCAAAACTTTAAAAAACCAAATTTTGATAAAGTAACATGTAATTTTTAAATTAAAATGTTGCAGATAATAATTTCAAAGTCAAGCTGAGAATAAATAATACTTTAAGAAATTTGCAACAACTGTAATGTGATATAAAAAAATCAATAATTTCTTTTTTTTCCTTTTGATGAGAACTCTTAGAATTTACTCTATAAATTCTACATATAATATAAGGCAGTGTTAATTACATTAATCCTATTGCACACAACACATCTAGTACTTTCTAAAATTAATTTATCTTAATTACAGGATAATTACTTTACAAAATTGTGATGGTTTTTGTCATACATCAACATGTATGATAAGCTCAGTGGTTCTCAAACAATTTCAGATGGTTTGTAAGCTCTTGGAACATTGTGCAACACTGAAAAATCTTAATTTAATTTCAGTGGAAAATCTATAGTAATTAATATAAAACACAGTTATAATAAAGGTAGGCATATAAGTATCATAAGCATGTGACATGAAGAAATGAGTGAACTAAATAAACATGATTAACTACTGCTCAGTTTCTGTCCTGTTTATTCTCTAATAGTCAAACATTGGTCACTCTTGCCAAGTGGATGAACAAGTTTAAGATCAAAAATTATATTTCCACAACTGGGAAATGATTTTCTAGTAAAGAGCTATTAACTAAAAAAAAAAAAAAATTATTATTAGTGGAAGCACACCTTTATACAGTAGTCAGAGGATGCTCGCTGAGAATCCACTTTAAAGAGTATTGACTTGGTTGAGGAGGTATAATTCAGATTTTCCCCAGTAACTAGGAGTCTGATTTATATAGTATTTGAAAATACACACACACACACACACAGAGGTTATCAGGTTATTACTTTCAAAAAGCTAAATAAATATTATCAAAATCTGGCATTAAGCTATGAATTGTAGAAGAACAGGTTATAATATAAACAATTGTTCTATAATGAATTTCGGTGCTAAATAGTCAGGAGATGTGAACCTTCACGAGTTCAAGAGCAACTTTCAGGTAGTGTTTAAACCAAGTCATGTAAGAAAATACTGAACATCATTCAGGCACTATGATTCATTACAAATTACTGAAATAAATAATCAAGTAGTTAATAGCAAATCTTACTTCTGCACCTGTAGGAATTCTAGTTACTTTTCAATGAGATGGATTGCCCGAGGTTGTGATTTTACTGTTACATCTTAAACTCAGAAGCCAGAAACAGTTGCCTGAGAAAAGACAACTGTAGCTTCCCAGGTGGCGCTTGTGGTAAAGAGCCTGCCTGCCAATGCAAGAGACATAAGAGACTCAGGTTCGATCCCTGGGCTGGGAAGATTCCCGGGAGAAGGAAATGGCAACCCACTCCAGTATTCTTGCCTGAAGAATTCCAGGGACAGAGGAGCCTGATGGGCTACAGTCCATGGGTTGCAAAGAGTTGGACACAACTGAGGTGACTTAGCACGTAACTTCTTTAGAAGTAACTACCATTTCTCCAAAGATTGGTCCTGATAGTTATTTCAATCTGTTATTTTTAAAACTGTTTCAGAGAATTCTGGAGGTACTGCTTCCTGATCCTTCAACTAAATATGTCCCCCATTTAGACCACTGATGCCCAGGAGAGGACAAGAGGAGAAAGCAAAGTGCTAGAGCTGTGGTTTGTCAATGGCAAACTCTGAAGGCAATAATGGAGGACCAAGAAATGTATGTTATTACTCCAGAAGTATTATGGAATGGTATATTTATTCATATTACAACACTGTACAAGCTAACAAAAGTAGCAAATCTCAGCCTTTCAAAACTACTATTGGCAGTTGCTCTATTTTTCATTGTATATTCATTACATATATTTGACTAACAAAAAATGGAAAATGAATTATTAATTAAATACAGTGTGGACTCTTAGCTTAGCATGACATCTGTGAAGAATCCTGCTAGTGCAGCTGCTCCCATCTTCTCAGGAAAGGCACATAAAAAGGCACAGAAAGAGACAACAGCACTCTCTACTACAATTAACTTAATCTCTGATGAGAAACCTCAGACAATATCACTATCTGTAAGTCTAGAAACCAGATCTAGAAACAAATTAATGGTGGCCCAGCTTTCTGAATAGTACACAGGATGCAAGAGATTGCTATGTTCTGTGAAATAGGTAATTCTGTCAGCTGAGAAAGGGATTTTAGCTCTCTCCCTTTTTCTGCCTGCTGTTTAAGAGAAACAGTGTTGCCATAGAAGGTGACTTCATGAGGCAGCCAGAGTAGTGCAACTCTTCCCCAACCAATTAATAGCATACTTCTTTCTCCATCTATTTAAATATAATTCCCAGTAAAGAGCATATCAGAAGGTAGCGGGCACTGACAATGGTTTACTAAATCCAAGAAGGCTCAACATCCAAACAAAAATCTCTGCAAAGAAGGGAAAATACAGGAAAAATCCTTTCAATAATATATGTTAAGAAACAATGTTTTTTCCACATACTTCATCTTTTTAAAGTGTCCAAAACCCAGGCACACCCAGCACCGCAGCAGATGACCCTAGTTTAGTTTACCAAAACCACATCTGATGACTGGCCACCAGTCACTGGGAAATGTTGAACTATTCTTCAGATACAGATCTGAAAGGATCCAAATCTAAGTAGATGGTGAGAAACATCCACACGCTCTGATGGGAGATACTGACAGTATTCTAAAGAAAAAGGCAAAAACCAAGGTGAGGTCCATGAGTAAAAACACTCCAACATATGAAGAAGAAATTTCCCAAAGACACAAAGAACATATCTCTGAACAGATTTCAGAAAGAACAAAAGAATAATTTTAGAAAGATTTTGACATGGATTTGAATAAAAATGCACAAGAAGCCAAAACCAAATGAATAGCATAAAGATAAAATAATACAAGACACAGGGACAAAATGTTGAGGTAAAAAGGAAGCTGTAAGATGGTGTCCCAAGCACCTCTCTGAGTCCTTTATCCACCGAATTGTGGTAGACTAATCACAGGGAAAAAAGGTCCTAATTCCCCCTACTTCCTTCTCTGTGTTCATACACTTTGAATATATTGCTTTATCACAGTTCTCATCAAGAGGTATACTCTATGTCCTTCTTCTATGAATCAGCTGGCCGTGTGACTTCTTTTTGCCAACAGAAAGGAACATAAGCAACAGTGTCCTAGTTCCATGCTAGCCTCAAGAGGCTTTCTTTGCCTGCTTCTGCTCTCTCTTAGACCTCTGCTACCACCATGAGAAACAAACCTAGGCAAGGCTTCTGGAGGTAAAAAAGACATCAGATGGTGAGGAACTCAAGTCCTCCAGGCAGCAACCAGCCATCTCCCAGATGCAGAACTGCCTAATCAAGACAAGGTTGACCAGAGACTCATGAAGGTGCCCAGCTAAGAAGAGAACTGCTTAGCTAAACTCAGCCTGAATCACTACCCTGAAGACTTATGAGTCAAATAAATAGTTGAAGTTTTAAGCCATTAACTTTTGGAGTGGCTTATTATTCATCAAAAGCTATGAAATACATCCACTGAGATGACCATTAATATAGAAGGAAAAATCCTGATCCTTTATTATCACAAGAAAATAAAGTTCTCAACTACATGCTTTCCAAGTCTCCGCAACAATGGTATATATAAAAACAGCATGAGGTGAGGGAGGTCTGTCAAGAGAACCCCCTTGATGCATTCTAGAACAAGAAATTCAGCCCCATTCCACTCATCTGATCTAAACTTCACTAAGTAAGGACTTCAGCAAACACCTGTTTCACCTGAACAGTGTGTAGAGCCGACTCTGTAGAAGTCATGCTACAATGTCTTCTAGAGCTAAGTTTTGTGAATGTTCTTCGCCCTGTACCCCTCACTTTAAGGGAGCTGCAGTTATGCTCACTCTTAGCTCTTCCTTGTAGTCCTCCTGGGAAGAGACTGACTCCACCTGTCACCATGCTGGGAACTGCTCCCAAGGAAATAAAGTGGGGGAATCTAGAGACTAACTCACCTCACTTCTCTCTAACCCTCCTCCTCCCAACTACAATCTCTAGCTCAAGTCTTGTTCCTTTCCTTTTGAAGTTAGTTAGCAATTCATACTCATTGGATATTGCCCCCCAACCAACCCTCTGCTAGAGAAATGT